CACCACGTGGGCATGGAGTTAGGCAATCTTTTTAAGACGGCGGCCGGCGCGGGCGCCACTCTGTGTATATGAATGTCTGTTTTTATGTTCTAGTGACTTTTATTAGCTACTCAGACCTCGTGGTTTTAACAACTCATTTGGTTTTTCTATCTTTCGAAGTTTTCTATAATTTGTATATTATTATTAGTATTTTTGTATAAGTGTATCGTGGTGGCCGATGCGTAATGTCTGATAGTCGTGGATTAGGGTGCGGTTTCGAAACCTCACAAGTACCAATGTTTGTGTGGTTTTTTTTTGGTAAGAACCAAGGTGACTTATTCCGAATTCGTTACCTTAATTTCACTGATATACATACTGTGAAGGAAAACATCATGTCCTACCCATGTAACTGGAGTTTATAATAAGTTTCTAATTATGTATAAGTTTGGAATTGCCAATCCGACTGAATCAAGCGTAGCGACTAATGCTCATTTCATTCTCCGTGAGAAAAGGTTTTTGTAGGTTACCTACTTATAGACTGTTGATGGTGTATGCCGTGTCGACTTATAGTTTTATCCTTAATTTGTTTCTGGAATCATTTAAAACATTAAGAAAATTGTTGTCCTATATTTTTGTAATATCTATTTATTTGCCATTAACACGATTTTTCATTATACCTATTATTCTCTACAAACATGTCCCACTCGCAAGAAACTAGCCAATGCAAACAAATTTAACCAGTTTTTTTTTAAGATTGCAAGTAAAATTACGTTATACCGATGCTTCAATCAATGAGGGGGCGGACCAGACCAAGCATAGACAATGAGTAAACAATTAATTACTTAACTATTGCTTTACAATTAATTTTGTTGCTGCAATTGTTTGGTCTATTGCTAAACTTTGATTGTCTGCGTTGAAGAAGGGCGTTACTTGATTTGTAACATGTCGGACGAGCTAACTAATACCTGATAGTAAGCAATCGACGCCGTCCATGGACACACGTACCTAACATCAGAGGACTTACGAGTGCGTTGCCGGCCTTTTCGAGACTGGGGTTTCGGAGATTTAGGGATTGAGGAAGCATGGGGGTATCGTATCGGGCCTCCGGTAACCTCACTCACACTGCGAAAAACAATGCAATTGTATCACTTCAGTCGAGCCGACCCATTCGTGCCAAAGCTTGGCTCTCCCACATTAAACTTATATAATTAAATATCATTTTTTTAATATCAAAAAAACATCTTTCTTATATTATAATCTGATACAGAATTCGAAAGCGTAACCATTTGCCCGCTAAACGCACTTGTAACCTATAAAAAAAAATCTTTCAAAGTTGACGTAAGACTTAACCCCTTTATAAATGGCTATGAAACAAGATAATAAGTTGAAATTTTAAAGTATTTAACCGCAGCTGTTCTGAAATATTACCATCAATGTTAAACAGACGGGATTAACTGGAATCTAACGCTAACTACGCATTTGTATTCAGTTTAAAACTCTATTTGACGTGGCTTATTCTAGCTCAGTGTGAAACATAATTTGTTTAAGATCCTTAGGATGTACGTAATTAAGTGGTTTTAGTTTTTATTAACTGTATTTAATTATTTATATGTTTATCATAATGTTAAGCCTTTTAAAGTCTAATGTGATAGGCAGAAGCAAGGTTTTCTTCTTCTGTAAACGCCTGTCCTATACAATGCTATGGGAATTATAATAATTATTAATTCAGTTACCCTATTATGTATTTACAATGACAGAATCTTGTAAATATAGGTTAGCTAGGCATTCTAATAATGTCATTATTTCTTGAAACATAAACAATACATAGTCTTAAATGGCAGTATAGTCGACAACATCGAATGGAGACTCAGTTGCCATTAAAAAAAATAGTCTTAAATTATATCTGTTTAATCTGTGACTTCTCATTTTTTATAATCTGTGGATGTCGCTATTCCTTATCTATCGGTCGGTTATAAATATGTCGTTATTGTATGAAGCTCTATGGATAATTTAAATCAATATATTTTTCATTAACTGTTCGTTCAACAATATATCTCTTTAATATTATAGAACAGACCATTCTTCTTAATCCTTGACCTTACAAGCGCATCTACAAAGGCTTAGCAACTGCATTCTGCAACATTATCCGCACTGTCAGATGTCGTGCTTCTCAAAGTTCATAGTATCGTGAGAATTACTGGATATTTGTATTCGCAAATATTATAACATTGATTAATGATATCATTGGATACTAATACTTCTATTCAATTAACTTTGGATTATTCTTGTATGGTACCTAATTTTGATTTTATTTTTACACTTCATTAATTTACAGCCCATTTGCATACGATTTATCAAAGAAATGATTGTCTTGAATAGTCTTAACAATATGTATGGCATCATGTAAATGAGCCTTAAGTATGTATATTGAGTTCAATATGGTCCAAGTTTTTACAAGAAAACGATATTGTATAGGTAACATAAATGTGCCTGTAGATTATAAATAAAAACTTATGTGCTTGTGAGTTAAGAAAATAGTGAACAATTTCGAATTATTAAAATAAACAATTTGACAACAGTTTTGCATAAAACAAAGATTAACGTTACCTTGTCATTAAAATATGTTGAAAGTACGGCATTAATTACATTTATACAATCAATAAAAATATGCAATACATATGTTTATTTATGTATTTATACATAAGACTATTAATTTGTGAACGGACACGACAATTAATTTTGACATACAAATTGACAGTTTGGCTTTCATTTTGTTTTATTGTTTTGACACATAGGTAACGTCAGGGACGTATTACGTCATTTGACATTATGTTAAAACAAAAGATTTTTTTGAAGATAATGTAACGTTGATAAATGGTAGTACATTGTGAAAATTTTAATATATTTTAAAGCGTACCTTTTATATATTAAATATTTACTACTTACTTCACTTAATTTAATGGCGATTTAAGTAAACTTAGTTCTAGGCATTTAGTGGTAGGCAACAATATTAGCCAGCTAGCCTCGAAAGTTCGCTACCAATGCAAAAACAGTTTTCCTAATTCAACTGCCATAACACCAATCATTAATTCTTCATCTACAGACGAGGGAGGGGAGAATATATCTCCAAGTCAGGTCAGTCAGTCAGTCAGTCATTTTGAAAATATCAAAAGACCACAGATAACAGTTGGAAAGGTTTAAGTTTATCTGCGAATCGCTGTCAAAAAGAAAATACATTTGACATAATCAACAAATTGCCCATCACATCAGAACAAAAGAAAATCCAAAAAACAAAAGCACCTCGTTCTCAGTGACAAACAATCAATCCAACGAAATTAAACGCACTCGCTCCAACAATACCAATATGTAAAACAGCTATTATCTTTAAACGGATACAATAAATCACTTTCATTTGGACAAGTCGGCTAGATTGGGTAAACATGGCCGTACATAATATTATGTATAGCGTAATGTAGCGAAAACAATGGCGAGCCGTTTCTGTTGTCAACACAACAGGTGTATTGCATACAAAATCAATTGTCACGCGTAATGGAGTCAAAAAAGTTGATAGGCAAATACGGAGGACGAGCCGTTTAAAAACAGAAGGTCCATTGGACATAGGAAGTTGATATGAAACTGATTTAAAAAGAGTAACGATGGAGTTTCTTGCTTGTTCTTCTCCATCGGAAACTAAACTTTGGAAAAAGCAAATTGCTTTTCTGAGAGCAGTGACCGACAGACTGTCAATCTTTGTTTAAACTTTGGTTGACGTTGTATAGGTCCAATTGAAGTAGGTAAATGATTTTGAAGTTGACTAGAACTACGAATTTATTGATGTTATAGCTTCGACTGATTTCGAGGCTCATCGGAGTAAGTGCGACTGTGTAGTTAGGCACATATTACGACTGTAAAAACTATATTGGCAAAGAATAACTCAATAATAAAAAAAACAATTCTGACCAACCGGATAACCAATCCAATTAAAAATACCTTTACAAGAATAGGAAACTGGGATGAGACAAATTCAATAAGGAATCTAAAGCCTCAATGCATTAAAAAGTTGAAGGCTACTAACAAACTATCCAACGACTCATGAAAAACTATAGTTTTCTTAGGTGCCTCTACTGTACAAAAAACTTGAGCAGAGTGGTCTTACTGATTCTTGACATTGTGTGTAATTAAACGAATCGATTTGCCACACAATTATAGGCTTAATTGACAAGAATGTAGTCCCATACCAAGTTGAGATGAACAATCAACAAAAAAACCGCTTCAGTAAGTCTACTTCTCATAATAAATTAAAAATTTCTCGACTTTTAAAAGCTTTTTTGTCATACAATTCCATTCACATGATTAACGGGAATTAATTAAGTTGTTTTAACAGACAATCCTTTATTCATTACAATGATCAATTATAATAAAAACTGTATTTTAATAGACTTTAACATATGTGTAGTGTTCTCAAAAAATATCTGTGGATAAAATAGCCATCCAAATATTGCGTTTATAAGACTTTTAAAAATCTATCTTTCCTGCCTACTTTTATATAAGATATCGACTACATTCTAGACCCAACATTTACTAAAATCCAAAACAGAAATTAGACTAAAAATTGGCACTTGTGGGCAAGAAGACCAACAGAGCGATTAAACAGACTTGGTTGACGAGACCCATTATTACGGTGTAATTCATTCATTTAAAGCCCATCTTCAAATTACAAACTATTGCAATAATTTCAACGTCAGTAACGTCAAATTGTCAACATTGCAGAGCAAAACTAATGGGAATACTATATTAAACAAAGTTTGGTCGGTTCCAAACAGAATTGAGAATGAGATGGTCTAGAAACTGTTCCTATGTCGCATTTGTAATGCTGACAAGTGACATTGGAATATTGGATGGACAATATCATCTAGAAGAGAAGAGAATTCAAAATATATTTGTTCATTTATTTACACATATAGGATACAGAATAACACATTTATAAAGGACATGGGAGCTTCATATTCTTATTCGAGTTTTTATGAAATAGGAGGTAAACCAGCAGACAGATCACCTGACGGTAAGTGATTGGCGCCGCCCATGGACACCTGCGGCACCAGAGGAGTCACAGGCGCGTAGGAATGTCTTCCTGCGAATCTATGACAGGAAAAGTAATTGGTAAACACGACACAGTGTGTAAAAAATAAATGGAGGTTTTATGTAGAGTATAATATTAGCTCAGGCCAGTCAATAAGAAACTATTACATAAATACGGAGTGTACGTTTCTTATTTTATCCCGTCAAATTAAATGGCGACTTTGCCGGAAACTACTGATCCATCCATCCAATAATCTAATGACTTAACCTGTGATGGGACTTGGGGCTCAAACCGCCCTGTTTCTTCCATTTCTCAGAGCCGAGCCATAGTACAAAATAAACCTCTAACACCAATTGTACGACAAGTTCCTTGTAAAATATTTAATTTGCGATATCATAATCTAATTATCTTCCTAAATTTATCGTAAATATGATTAGAAATGTTAATTCGGCTGCTACTTATATTTTTGGCAATATTAGGTACCTCTAAAATTTTAGTCACACAAATCCTGAGTAAATAGTCCTGTTAATGTCATGAACTCTTAGTTAACACAAAACGGATTATAATTTATAGCATAAGGAGGGTAACACGTTCTGTTACCATGCACAGACTGGAATAGAACACCGGTTCATGTGAACCTATTTCCAGATCTCCAAGCGATATGATGGCAGTGGGCAGTGATTGCAAATCTTGTATTAAGTGTTAGGTATCAATGCGCGTATTTTTTTCTCTTTTGTGGAATAGCAAACGACGGGTAGCAATCGAACGGGTGGTTCACACTATTAAATATTTATGAAACTAAAAAGTTTATCTCTTTCGTTTTTTATTGAAATGATTTTAATAGTTGGAACCGATGAACAATACAACAACTGTTCGGATCTTTATAAAATAATACTTCGGTAGATCGTATTTCAGAAGACCCTTTTCTCAGTCATTAGTTTATGCACTGTTAGCAGTAAGTACAGATCACTTAAACGTCAAGAATTATATGATTACTTATATTATTCCTTTTTCAATCCCAAAAGCAATTGCTAAAGACTAATTATCTTTAAATGTCCAAGTACGGCTGTTAGATATTATATTATAGGTACCTACACATTTTTCTGGTACTGAACTAAAAATCTCAGCTCAATAAAAACTACCTATAAAAGTTGATTATGTTGTTCCTTCTCAGCGTTGTATGGATTAGAACACATCAAAACATACATTTAAAACTGGATTGACTTGCTTATACTCGTATTAGGCATATAAAATGACTGGCGGCTATCAACCTGCTTATGCAAAATGCGTTAATCGTAATCGATACTCCTTACGTCTTCATGTCTTACTGGAATTCTTGGAAGTGAATTAGTCTGGTATATCTTGTTACTGCGGTGTATTTGGAGAAGACTATGGTTGAATTACAACGCTGACAACACCAATGCCTGCAATGATTTGAGTCAGCTTGACTAATATAATGTTTTGAGCATAGTAATCTTGACACTTAGCTTGCTTCTCCGTGGCTGCTTCGTGGCGTCGTTGTTATCGTACTTAGGTAGCTACGGAAATCCATGCATAAAACGCAGGTAGATTTCCAAAAATTGTCGTTGATCTGATTATGTTGAGGTAAAGATAATAATATATAGAGCTAAATTCTGCAGAACCTACTTATAACTCAGAAAGCTGTAGTCGGTACCTACCAACTCCTAAGAAATATGATTTGAGAAGAAAAGGTAGGTAATATTAAGTTATGTTAAATGACATTAAACAAAGACGAAATACAAGAAGAAATCACTTTAGGCTGAAGCAATGTTGATCCATTTTTATACTCATCTAGAATTCCCAAGTTGAGCAGGTCACGAAAATACCTAATGTATTCAGCCGCATCTTAATATTATATTTTTCGTCGGGTTTGTTCTTTCCATCCATTAGCGTTGTTGAATATTTTATTTATTTTTGTCTTGGAGACAACATAGCTTTGCCAATGTAGTTATAACAAGTTTGGTGGAGTTACTTAGTGGAATATTGATTGTTACTTGTGCCAAGGTCAGGGTTAGAAGCGTTGCTATTCCATATCTTATGCTTGAAATTAAAAATGTAATATTGTAGGTGCCTACTCAATAAAGACGAATCAACTCATTTCACCTAATCACTAGTTTTGATCGTAGCTTCATTCGTATTAATTTTGGGAATATTTCGTCAACCAGGGGTGGTGGAAAAATGAAGAACATTTCCATATATATTTTATGCAGTACTGACCAGAGCAAGTACCCAATCACTTTGTTGTAACAATGAGAGCATTTACAATAATATGGTAAACTTATTGGTAGAGCAATCAACGCTCATAAAGAAAATTTTTCATCTCAGTGATAAATCACAAATATACATTAGGTAAGCAATCTTCTAAACAACACCTAAAGCTGGTAAACATACGTACGATAAACAGAACCGATTTACTGAGAGACAAGTGAGAAACCTAACAATTCTGAGTAAATCGAAAGAATCAAAACTGTTCGTATTGTTTTATTCGAAGAAAATGAGGCCTCGATGGGCAAATCGCCAGCTATATTTACAAATTATTATCACCTTTGAATGTTGAAGAATATCTGTTTGTAAAAAACTTCTCCAAAGTATCTTATAAGCGCATTCGAGGATTTCTAATGAAACAGTAAGCTTACATCGGCATCGCCTTAACTATAATCATTTATGCATTATTACAGATCTTTTTAGCATCTTCTTGACACGATTCTTACGATTACTTACCTTTATTTCCCTTTTAATACGCAGTCATATGTTTTCTGCATGTTTACTAAATAGCTACGAGCATTAGGTGTATCCGCAAACATCTTGTTTAACCTTCAAGTACCTAGTGAAGACATCTTCTAATACCGCTTTAAGTTTACCAGCAAAATGGCTTTAAAACTGTATACTCAACTACCCGCAACCACTTATCTTTGAGAAAACAGTTACTAACTACATACTTTTGAAGTAAATAGGTACGTTTTCCTCCTTAATTTACGGATAAACGTTAAAGCGCAGTTCATTCATGTTTATAGGGACCGCAAGCGCTAATTTCATGCAAATTGCCCTTTAGACAACGATTGAACAACAAATATCTACCTACCTCCAAGTACTTACATCGATTAGCTCGTAGCTGAACGAGGGTAGTTGTAATTTTGTACGTTAAATCGATTTTTGCAAGTACCCTCAGATTGCGATGTAGCAAATAATGGTCTTGTTAACTTTTTATGGTATTTGTTCCGTTTAAGATTTCTTTTATTAAAACCACAGCATAATATTAACCGTCTTGTAATAGATATTAAGGTGTTGAACCCTCTTTCCAAGGTGAAGAAAGGTTTTTGAATGTTTTGGTCAATAATGTTTATTCTATGACTGTAATAAGATCCAGTATTTCTCCAAGTACAGCTACTAAAAGTCGACAGAATATAGTGCTCGTAAAATTTACTCTAACGATCTGTCAATGCGAACAATAAGACCATGGTCACAGTAAAATCGTCGTTCGCTATTTTACAGCTGCTTTTAAGTAACAACGGTGAAGGTTACTTTATGAGTTTAAGACTGAAAAGGAAATGTTGAGTATTGAACTGAGTTATGTTTATTGTTAACACCATTATAATAATTTTTCTTATTGTTTACTAGCGCGTGTAGACCTTATTATGCGGAGCTAGCGCTAAGATAATTAATTAACAGGAGAACAGTGAGATATCTTATTAGGTTGAATACGTACACCACAAACACCATCCTACATAATATAATTATTCTTATTACTTGTGAGTATTATACGGTGTATTAGCCTAAGTATGCACTCAATATATTGTTTGTAGTGGTTTGCCACAGAAACACTGATTTCATTAAGTCATTATGTTTTCATTCTTTGAGCAAAATGTCCTATTTCTTTATTTTACACCTGATATCCATCACTCATCCTACCATAGGTAACTTACATGGATAATTATTAAATACAGTTTAACAAAACGTTTATGAAAATGCACTAACAAAATGGCAGCTTCATAAAACAGATGTTTCATTTTCACAGACAAAGCGCTTTCCTAGAACGCTCTACAACAGTTTTCAAGAGTTTACAGTCAGTTTCCAAGAGATACCAAGGCAATATTGAAAAGGAAAATATATAGACACTTAATGAAGAAATTCTTCATTCAAGCACTAACATTTTATTTTTCAGATAACCCAATTGTTCTCTCTAGGTCAATTATCCTACGGACAGAATAGATTCATAATTGCACAAAGGTTTTGCCGTAAAAAACAAACGAAAACACTTAAAACTTACCACTGTTCAGATATTCCTCTGATGAATATTTCTAAACATCTCTCTAAAATAAATAACAGTTACTATGTAATATTTCCACGTTACATGACAAAAGAAAACGATTAAAACTCAATCAAGAAAGTGCTATTATTTATTCAGGATCCAGCATTGTCGTACGGAGTACAGACGTACACTTGCGACTATGGATTTTTATTGTTACCTTCATCAAACATTAACCTGACACAGGTAAATGACGATCATTTAGAGACAATTTGAGCTCGTCCACCATTTTGTTTTGCTATCTAAGGACACATAATGGACTCAAAATTGTTCCTAAGTTTTAGTAACATTTTTGTCTACTTCGAGTTAAACTTCAGTAGGTACTAAGCTGTTTATTTTATGTGACTTTAGATTACCTATGTTTCTTCTTGGTTAATGGTCTTTGAAGGTTGGGTCCGGTTCATAATGAGTTGGGCAACTGCCTTATTGTATGTCTCGCAGTTAAAGTAAAGCGTGAAATCTTGAGTGAAGAATATTTTGTTGTAAACTTAAGTAAGAAAACACCTCATACCTACAAATACATAGTATAATAGTCTGCAGATGAAATACCAATGATAAGTAACTTGCTAAGAACATATTTTGTTGAAATTAGCAAAGCGTTTTACCCTCAAGCAAATTGTTTAATAAATTAAAGCATTACCTACGTTTGTTAATTACAAACTATAACTGGATCTTAATTATGTCGCTAATTCTGTACAGCGATTAGGACTAGGCTTCGTTATTACAATTTGT